GCACTGGGCCGCGCCGGCGTCCACCGCCTGCTCCGAAGTGGTGAGCGGACCGCGCCCGGGTCGCTCTGGAGATGGGCGGCTCGCTTGCACCCGTTCTCTGCGGCGCTCCTGGCCAAAACCAGTATGACTTGCTGGGTTGTGAGATCGTGCAGAATGAACTTGGCCCCAGGAGAAAGGAATTTAAGGGTAGATTGGGAACAAGGTCATGCACTTGACGCACACATTCTGTCCATACATTTATTCTATTATTTATTATGCAATTTAAAAATCATCAACCTCTGTAACTTCAGGAGTAAGTATGGTGACACAAGGTTAAACCCTCAACAACAAAATTTCTCTGCTGATACTATTCTGCCCAGCTCGTGCTGGGCCATTGTAGGGCAGGCCAGAAGCACAAGACACAAAAGTAGGAACGATTCATCCTGCCCACCGAGCCTGGCCCATCTTCTCCCAGAGTGTGTGTGTGTGTGTAGATAGCTGACAATGAAACTAAAGAACCCCATGAAGCTGGGCGTGGTGGCACACGCCTGTGATCCCAGTACTCAGGAGGCTGAGGCAGGAGGATCGCTGTGAGTTCTATAGTAAGGCTAGCCTGAACTACAGTGATACCATGTCTCTCTCTCTCTCTCTCTCTCTCACACACACACACACACACACACACACACAGCCTATGATACGAGTAAATGGCCTCACCAATTTGCAACTTCAATGTACAACTCTAGATACAGTGCAGGTATTCTTTGTTATTATTTTGTTTTGTTTTTTTGGTACCGGGGATCGAACTCGGGTTCTTGCGCTTGCAAGGCAGGCAGCAGAACCACTGAGCTAAATCCCCGGCCAGTACAGATATTCTTAAAAGATTAGCAGAAACCAGGGCTCCCAGCAAAAGCATTCCTGGGATAGTTAGATTTGCTATGTAGACTCTTCCCCCCACAAACCCTTATGAAAAAACTTATGACTCTCAAACCCTTAATGAAAAAAACTCATGTCTTTTCTTGTTCTGATCTTGGTAACAAAAAATTTTACTGCCTATCTCACTGGCAGTGTTAAAATAAAGTTTGAATTTTTCCAAAGAACAAGATGGATGTGGTGGTGCATGCTTATAAACCCAGCACTTGGGAGACTGAGGCAGGAGGAGTGCCATGAGTTCAAGGCCAATCTGGACTACATAGTGAGACCTTGTCTTAAAAAAAATTTCCATTTGACCCCTTTAAAAAATTTAAACTGAAGGGCCAGGGATTTAGCCCAGTGGTTCTGCCACCTGCCTATCAAGCGCGGGGTCCTGAGTTTGATCCCTGGTACAATCAATCAATCGATCTCTGTTGAAACATTAAAAAAATTTTAAACTGCTTTCCATATAACAACCTGTGGTGTTTGTGTAATGTAGTTCATATCATGCAATAAGCCTGCTTAGAACCCTTTACTGGCTTATATTTAATTTTCTTTTTTTGTTGTTGTTGTTTTTTTGGTACTGGGGATCAAACTAGGGTCCTTGAGCTTGCGAGGCAGGCGCTGGAACCACTGAGCTAAATCCCCGGCCCACAGATTTGATTTTTTTTTTTTTTTTTTTTTTTTTTTTTTTTTT